TGGTCACTTCTTAAAACTTTAATTCGTAAGTCTTTCTCATTTTGAATTTGCTTTGCAAACTTTCTAAAAACTTTAAAAGCTTCACTTTCCATTGTTAGGAAAAATGTCCAAGTATATCTAGAATAATCATCAACAATCACAAGACCATAATAATTTCCACCAAAGCTTTTTATCCTAGATGGTCCAAATAAATCTAAATGTAATAATTCTAGGGGTTTTGAAGTGGAAATAACATTCTTTGATTTAAATGATGATTTTACTTGTTTACCTTTTTGACATGCATCACATAACCTATCTTTTTCAAACTTCAACTTAGGCAAACCAACAACTAAGTTTTTTTATATCAATTTATTTAAATGATGCATATTTATATGAGCTGCTCTCTTATGCCATAACCAAGGGTTCTCTTCCTTAACAACTAAGCATGTTATACTAGAATCATGTAAACAATCCAAATCAATCAAGTATATGTTATTATGCCTAATGTCTTTCAATGCTACATTTTCGGAATCTATCAAGTGTATAGTTTACTTTCAAATATTACCTTAAATCCTTTGTCACATAGTTGACTTATGCTAAGGAGATTATGCTTTAGTTCATCAACAAGAAGCACATTCTTAATCTCCAAAGTGTTTGCACCACCTATATTTCCAATTCCAAGAATTTTCCCTTTGTTGTTATCCCCATAAGTTACATATCCTTGTTCTTTAGCTTTGAAACTCACAAATTTCGTTTTATCACTGGTCATATGCTTTGAGCATCCGCTATCAAGATACCACATAGACTTCTTTGATTTGGGAGTTTCCTACAAAACAAGAACATAGTAAACTTAGGTCCCCATAACTTTTGGGTCCTTGGGGTTAGAGACAAATAAATTATTTAACAATGGGAACCCAAATGTATTTACCTTTAGGAACACCAAAATGTTTTATTTTACATTGATTTGAAGTGTGACCTTGTTTCATACAATAAAAACATGTTTTTGATGTAGCTTTAGAATAAGATGCATTACTAACAAAAGATGCTCTAGTTCCTTTTTCTACCCATACTCTTTTATTTTTCTTTTTAGGCTTTTTCAAAGGAGCTTGATGATTTACACTATTTTGAGCTAAAACAATTTTATCCTTCTTAAAATCACTTATCTCCTTTTCGGCTTTATCTAGCAAATGGTTAAATATATCTATGTCATATTCATATTCTTTACAAGAAGTACATGCTAAGTTCTTATCATCATCCTCATCTAAATATACAATTTTCGTTTCTAAGGTTTCTTTTTCCTCTAAGCATGTGATTTTCGTTTTTAATGAGTCAATCTCCTTTTCGGATCTACTTAAACTCTTTTTCACAACTTTATATTCAATTTTCAAGTCCTTAAAGGCACTAAACAATTCATTATATGCATTTTGCAGTTCATCATAGTTATTTTCATCATCACTTGAGGATGAGTCGGAATCACTTACCTCAAAGTCGGAAGATATGTTGTCATTTGCCATTAAGCAAATATTGACTTCTACTTCCGAGTCACTTGATTTCGAACTTGAATCACTGTTGTCCCAAGCAATGTAGGCTTTCTTTTTGAATAACTTTTTGCCTTTGACTTCTTCGTTTTTCTTGTTTGGACATTCGATCTTCATATGTCCTGCTTCACCACAACCATAACATTTTATATTTACGGAAGTACTTTCTCTTACCTTTCCCTTACCTTTGAATGGATGCCTTCCTTTGGCTTTCATGAATTTGGTGAACTTATTTATCATAAGACTCAATTCTTCTTCTTCATTCTCTGAGTCTTTTTCTTCCTTTTTATTTTTACCTTTGGAAATTTCGGTTTTGAAGGCTAAGTTCTTCTTTTGATATTGTCCTTCTTCTTCATTTAGCCTTCCAAGCTCAAGCTCATGCTCTCTTAGCTTTCCAAAGAGCGCCGTCATAGACATTGTGACAAGGTTTTGTGACTCCAAGATGGCCGTCACCTTAGGTTGTCATTTCCTATCCAAAGATTTTAAGATTTTAACATTCAATTCATCAACGTCAAAGATTTTACCTAATCCGGTGAGATGGTTCACAATATGAGTGAAACGTTTTTGTACGTCAAATATCGTTTTGCCTTGTTGCATCCGGAACATCTCGTATTCTTGGATTAGAGAATTTTTCCGTGCTCTCTTAATGTCATCGGTACCTTCGTGGGTCACTCTTAGCATTTCCCACATCCCTGAGCACTTTTACAAACAGAGATCCTGTAAAACTCGTCAAGGGTTAAAGCAGATGAAATAATATTTCTAACCCTAACGTCAAATTGTGCTTTTCTGTTTTTCTCAGTTGTCCATCTAGAAAAAGGTTTAGGAACGTCTACACCATTCTCAGTAACTTTAGGAATATAAGGACCGTTTAAAATAGCGTCCCAAACGCCTCTATCAACAGACTCTAAAAAGATTTGCATTCTTACTTTCCAGAAAGGATAATTTTGACCCGCAAAAAGTGGGGGTCTGTTGATAGACGCACCTTCGGCAAAAGTTTGATTTTTTCCGGCCATTTTCGAAAAGTTTGAATAACTATCAAAGCAAGTTATGATACCACTTGTTAGAATCGCGCAGCGGAATGTTCGCGTTGTCGGACAAAAACCAAGAGGGGGGTGAATTGGTTTCTTAACAAAAATTAGGTTTTAAAAATTTTCCCTAAATTTTACCGATTAAAATACTGTGTAAACGTAAATAAGATAGAGATAGAGTCTTACACAGGAGATTTATACTGGTTCGGATCAAAAGACCCTATGTCCAGTTGCTAATCAATCAAACAGAGGATTAACGCTGTCACTATAATCAAAGTTGTTACAAACAGATAACAATTGAAAATACAAAGTGAAGAAAACACCTCTCTTGAAACCCACAAGAGATGAAGAACAACTTCCCCCAGAGACGGCACAACACACAATCCACTAAGAACTCCACTTAGTGATTCTTATCGCTTTTAGCCCACACCAGGTTACAAAAGCCCCTTTTTCCTCCAACAAACAGTTCTCTGGCACTCACAACACTTAACTTTTGTTTGAAAAAGGTTGTTCTATTTTCTGAGTGCCTTAGAGAATCTTAAGTAGAGAAATTAGGGTTTGGGAATTGGGATTTTCGGAACTAGAGAGTATTGGGATTAGGGTTTTCGAAAATAGTTTTAATTTAAAGTTGAAAATCAAAATCTGACTGAAATAATCGATTAAATGAAGTGTTAATCGATTATTACAGAGCCAAAATCAACAGAACCCCAAAACTTTCTGTTTTAATCGATTAAAAGCCCTGTTAATCGATTAATAGGTCTGCTAATCGATTAACAGGTGTGTTAATCGAATATTACAGTGATAGAAAATGGTTTTTCTCACTGTAATAATCGATTATCTGACCATTTAATCGATTAAACCCGAGGCAAACTGATAAATGTGAGTTTTTGAAGCTTCTAAAGTGTAGACTATGTACCAGCTATCTTAGACTTTAATATTACAGACTCAAACTAATCAAAACAGAGTTATTACACAATAAAACAAGTCTTCAACTCTCTAAGTTTTTTGTTCTTGAATCATCATCAAGATCAACAAGTTTTATGTCCATGTAAGTTCAACATCATGTCCTTGAATGCTCAACATGATATTGTAGTTATCAATATCTAACAATATTTTAACAATATCAAATAATATTTAAACAATATGTAACAAACAATTTTTTTACAATGACTTTACAAATTATATACAATTTACATTGGGAAATCGAACTAACTCATTTTTTTATATCTATTTTATTGTCTACTTAAACATTTTCCAAAATTGTAAAAATCTATACTATTTTGTCCAATAGAAAAAAATGTTAAAAATGAGCATATGATATTTTTAATTCATTGATATTAATCGCTACATTAATTATGGTTTTTACCATTATGATTTTCACAATTTAAACATTAAAATTTATAATAATAATTATATATTTTTATTCGACTAGATACTTAGATTCAAATGACAAAAATTCATATATTATGTATCAAACAATATAAGTAATACATAGAAGGTTTATATAAATAATACATTTACAAGGTTATATTATATAGATTATAAAATAGGTTTAATCCATACTAGAGAAGTTTGAGAAATATAATAAATTAAGTTAAAAAAATTTGGGATATAAATTGAATTATATCACTTACCTTATCCGTGGAATCGGTTTATAAATTTTAAATAATAATAATAATAATAATAATATTTTATATATATTATATAAACTAATTTAATAAAAGATTCATTTTTTTATTTTAATCATATATATAAATTGTCTTTAATATTTATTTATTCAATAATTAAATTATTATTTTATATTAATAAATCATTATAAAATAAATAATGAGTAATATTTTAACTTTTATTTTAAGATTAAATAAAATTAATTTTTTATAATTTATATATATAATTATTATATTAAAAATAAAAATTAATTTAATTAATATAATAACAAAATTTAAAATATATTTTGATTTTAATTAAATTTTTTTAATTAATTTTTTTTATATAAATACGTTAATATTTTTAATTATTTAGCTCAACCAGTTTAAAATATAAATCAGAATATTAAATTTGTTTATTTAACCTATTAGTTATCCATTTTAACACCTCTCTAAATATATTTATTTATTTAATTAAATCATGTAACAATACAAATAACACACTATAAAATATTCATCATAATTTTTATTGTAATATTATTTCTTTACTTGTTAAAATGATTATTGTTTATTTTTATAATTTTGCTATCACAATGAATGATGAGACACGGAACAAACAGAGACAAAAATCATACGTAGTATTGACAGAAAACTATGATTTATTAAATTATTATTATTATTATTATTTCTAAAATCTATGTATACAATAGTTATAAAAAGGGCTCAACTCAAGGAGTTGCACAGGCGGAGACAGTGGCAGCGGGTTTAGGGTTTAGGAGGCGCGGAGGAAGAGGAGGGTTGTCTGAGACATGGCTTTCTGGGGTAAGCTTCCATCTGTTGGTTGCTTCGGTAATGTTCTGAGTTCTAAAACCTAAATACTATTTCTTCATTCACTCAACTGCAGGAGTGGAAGTAAAACCGGGAAAGCCTATTACTCATAAATTTGATGACTCCAAAGGACGCCTCCATATTTCAATGGTAACTGTAATCTAGCGTTGTTGTGAATTAATCGCACAAAAACTAACGGATTATAATAATGTTCATATTAATTTAGGCCACTTTGGGGTTGGGCACTGCCACAGCAAAAAGCACACTGCAGTGCAATGTTGGAAACAGGAGTCCTGTATATCTATGCTCTCTCTATCCTGGAAACTCCGAGTCATTGCAATTAAATTTAGAGCTCGAGGAAGTTGATAACGTTCTTTTCTCTGTAATTGGCCCTCGGAGCATTCATCTCTGCGGTTACTATCTTGCCACTGCCTGCACAACCAATCTTATTGATAATTCGTATCCATCTTCTTCCTTCTCATGTCCCATCTTTATTATACATTCATAAAACTTATTCGTTCAATCCTTCCTATTAACTTATTCTTTATTTTAATTCAAACATTTTCTTGGACTACTTTATTTTCCACTCTGTCTCTGTTTCATTTTTTATTATGGATTGGTTTAGCCTAGACAGTGGCATACCATGCCTATCATAAGCGAGAATATAATTGTAAATATTTTTCTTATTTTCCTTCACTACAATGGAAAGGGAATCATATGGGGAGGATATTGCTGATACAGAAACAGAGAGATCTGATTACAGTGATGAAGATGAGTACGAGGATAGTTTTATTGATGATGACATTGTTCCAGAGGCTTCCTCACCATCTCCTATTTCCAAAGAAGGCACGTTCAAATAATAATTTTAACCCTTCCACGAATGTAACAATTTTTTCTTGATCTTTCCGCTTTCAAAACCTGATGTCTGTATTTTTTTTTATTGTGCTGATTGCAGAGGAAGCATCTCGTGATAAAAGACCAAAAAGTAGGAAAGGCAGTCTTCGACGGCTTAGGAAGAAGTACCAGTCATTTGAGTCAGATGATAATGACTGTTACGAAGAAAAGATAATTGTCAATGACAAAATGCATGACCAAACCCAGGAAACTGACAAAGAAGATAGCCTACCTATTTCATCTCTTTTCAAGGATAAAGCTTCCGGAAGGGTCTTGGACGAGGAAATGGATGTTAGTGTTGACAATGGAGCAGCTGATGCCAGCAACAAGAATGGTGAAGAGGGTGGAAATAGTATGTTTGAAACAAACTTAAAGACTGGCCATGCCCTTGCAGATAGTCAGACATATAGGTGACTGTTCTTGCTTTTCTCAGCCTCAGGTGTTAGGGAATATCTACTTTTAGTTCGTTTCCTTTGTTCTTAAATTATGTTTCTGCTGAAACAGGGAAGCTGTACCGTCAAAGCATTTGGTAGATCCTAGCACAGGTCTGGATGTTGGGGATATTAAAAATTTAAAAAAGAAAAAGAAGAGAAAGGAAAAAGAGACAAAGAGCTCCTGCAATGGCCATTCTATCAAACTAGATAATGGTATAGATGAGCCACAAATAGAAAAGACAACCCAGGATTTTGTGACAGGAGGTAAACAAGAGCAGCATGCTGATGCTATGTGAGTATTTATGTCTTTTGAATTCTTGAATGTAAAATTGCTTTACATGATTGAGTATTATAAGAAATTGTTCTTGCTGTCAGTTTTGTTGGTTAAACTGTTAGACTAATATATATATATATATACACATTAGTTAACAATTTTTGTTATTGTGAGAAATAAGCACAGTTATCGAACTCTAGGGTTAACTTGTAAACCCTTTTGAGTTTACGGGTTTATTGTTGTAGACTCAATTTCGAGCAAACTCAGTGGGCTTGGTTCCTACTTGTGAGTTTGATGTGAGTGAACAAGTCTGGATGAAACACCCAAAACGCCACTTACCTTGTTTGTATGGACCAGCTTCTAACTTTAGATATTGTGTTAGGTCCTGGGTTGTAAGAACCTGGAAAAAGATTACTCACACCGTCTCTCCTCCCAAATAACAGCAGCACAACTCAGGAAAAGAATGATTATTGTATTCAAACACACCACAAACAGAATACAACCCTCTGTCTTCCACAATCACAAGAAATGATCCTGTCTACTTCTATTACAAAACTCTCTGACCACTAACCCACCCATTACATGGTATATATAGCCTCCCCCTACGCAACACTTCTCATCCTATAACTAACTAATGATTTAGTTAGCTATTATTTATTTAATATTCTCTTCTTCCTAGTATACACTTTTAACTCCCTATCATTACTCCCTCCTGCGTCAACAACCTTGTCCTCAAGGTTGAAGTCTGGAAATTGATATTTCATGGTAGATACATCTTCCCAGGTTGCTGCTTCATGGCCAGCAAACTGCCATTGAACTAACACTTGAGGAATCCTTTCCTCTTTTTCTTCTGTCTGCACACTTCTCCTATCAATTATTTTGCTTGGTACATAGATGGGCTGCCCTGCAGATCCTTTGGAAGTTCTTTTTCAACTGCATGTGTCCCACTACCTTTTTAAGCTGAGAAACGTGAAATACTGGGTGGATACGAGCTGTCTCTGGAAGTTGTAAGTCGAAAGCAACCTGGCCCACCTGTCGTCGTACTAGGAATGGACCATAATATCTGGCAGCTAACTTGGGATTTAATCTCGCTGGCATTGAGACTTGCCTGTGAGGTCTGATCTTCAAAAATACATAGTCTCCCACCTTAATGGAAGATGGCCTTCTGTGTCTGTTAGCAAACTTTGTCATCTGTTGTTGAGCTCTTTCTAAGTGAAATTTCAGCTGCTTCAAAGCTTCATCCCTGGCTAGAAGATCTTGTGCTACTGCCTCCACCGTTGTTTCACCTGGCACAAAACTATGTAAGGAAGGAGGGGATCTGCCGTAAACTACCTCAAAAGGAGTGGTATTAGCCGCTCCATGGAAGCTAGTGTTGTACCAAAACTCAGCCCAGGGTAAAAACTAAGACCAAACCTTTGGTTGCTCTGAACTGAAACACCTTAGATACGTTTCGAGAGTTCTATTGAGGACCTCTGTTTGCCCATCCGTTTTTGGATGGTAAGCAGTGCTCATTTTGAGTGTGGTTCCCTGCAAATGGAACAACTCCTTCCAAAATAAACTCAAGAAGGTTGGGTCTCTGTCACTAACGATTGAGGCTGGTATCCCATGCAACCTTACCACTTCTTTCACAAACACTCTTGCCATGCTTCTAGCTGAATATGGGTGCTTTATAGGGATAAAATGGCCATACTTGCTTAGCCTGTTCACCACCACCAATATTGCATCAAACCCATTGGACTTAGGGAGACCTACTATAAAATCCATACTAATGTCTTCCCATATAGCATTAGGAATACGTAATGGCTGCAGCAGTTCCTGGGGAGATGAAGCTAGATATTTATGTTGCTGGCATATCAAGCATGCTGCTACGAACTTTGTTACTTGATTTTTCATCCCAATCCAATAGAGGGACTGTGCAATCCTCTGATAGGTCCGAAAAACCCCTGAGTGGCCTCCTGTTGGTGTAGTGTGGTATTCTGCCAGCAGTTTAGGTATCCATTGAGAGGAAGTGGATAAAACTAACCTCCCTTTATGATGTAGTCGTCCCTGTTCCATAGTAAAATGCCCCTGTGCCCCTGGGTGGCTGATCAAATTCTGACATATTTTCTGAAGTGCAGGGTCCTGTTTAACTTCTTCTGTTATTGCCGGAAAATCTAACCAAAAAGGTTGGGATAGGACCCGTAACTCCTTATCCTCCTTAGTCCAGTCCTCCCATGTTTTGGACAATGCATCAGCAACCTTATTGGATGACCCTGTTTTGTACACAATGTCGAATTCATACCCCAAGAGTTTTGCCAACCAGTTTTGTTGGTTTTGCGTGGTTATTCTCTGCTCCAATAAATACCTCAAACTCTTTTGATCTGTAAAAACTGTGAACCTTTGACCCAACAAATAGGGTCTCCAGTGTTGAATGGCCAACACTAATGCCATAAGTTCTTTCTCGTAAATTGACTTGGTAAGGGATGAATCCGATAAAGCTTTGCTAAAGAAAGCAATGGGTTTCTTATTCTGAGATAAGACTGCATCTATTCCACTTCCCGAGGCGTCACATTCAATAGTAAAAGGCTGAGTAAAGTCTGACAGCACTAAAACTGGGGCTGTTGTCATGGCTTGTTTGAGTTCTTCCAATGCTTCCTCACTCTCCTTATTCCATTCAAAGTTTCCTTTCTTCAAAAGATTAGTCAGAGGCTGAGCTATTCTTCCATAGTTCTGTATAAACCTCCTGTAGTACCCCGTGAGTCCCAGAAAACCTCATAATGCCTTAATGGTTTTGGGCTTAGGCCATTGTTTAATTGTAGCCAACTTCTCGCCATCCATCCCTACTCCTTTGCTGGATATCACATGCCCCAAGTATTTCACCTCCTGTCTGCCAAATTCACATTTTTTTCTATTTGTATAAAACTCTTGCTGCAACAACGTGCTCAACACCTGCCTTAAATGATTTATGTGGTCCTCCCACGTTCTACTGTATATCAGAATGTCGTAAAAAAAAACTAGTGCACATTGCCTTAACCACTTCTGAAGTATGGCATTCATGGCACATTGAAATGTAGCTGGAGCATTAGTTAGCCCAAAGGGCATAACTAGAAACTCATAGTGCCCCAGATGTGTTCTGAATGCTGTCTTAGGTACATCAGCCTCATGCATTCGTATCTGATGATACCTAGCCTTCAAATCCACCTTTGAGAAAAATTGTGCCCCATGTTACTCATCTATTAACTCCTCAATCACAGGGATTGGGAACTTATCTGGTACCGTAGCCTTATTTAAAGCACTATAATCAATACAAAATCGCCAGCTCCCATCCTTCTTTTTGACCAAAATAACTGGGCTGGAGTAAGGGCTATTGCTGGGTCTAATTATGCCCATTTTAAGCATTTCTGCTACCTGTTTTTCAATTTCAGATTTCAATAAATGAGGGTACCTATAAGGCCTGACATTAACTAGGTTTTCCCCTTCTTTTATGGGAATCCTATGATCCACTGGTCTCTCAGGAGGAAGCTCCTGAACCTCCCGAAAAATATTACCAAACTCCTCCAAAACTGTCTCCAATTCAACCTTTTGTCTGGAAGATAAAAGCTTCTCCCTCTCTCCACTGTTCTGACTTTCAGGTATAGCCAATTCCCATAAAAAAGTCACCATCTCTATTTCTGTTTCCTTTAACAAGGCTTGGGGAGTTATCAATTTTTTTGCAAGGGTGGGGTCCCCTTGAATCTTGACCTGCTGCCCTTTCCATTCAAAATTCATAGTCAACTTTTGCCAATTCATTTTCCCGTCTCCTAGGGAAGCCAACCAAGTCATCCCCAATATTAAATCTACTCCTCCAGGCTCAAAGAGGAAAAAGGTTTCTGACACTTCATAATTCTGCAGCTCCACTTGCACGTCCCTACAACACCCTTTAGTTATTTTCTTGTGCCCATGTCCTAACTTAACACAATAATGATTCGTGTCCTCCATTGGCAGTCCTAATTCTGACACCAATCTCGAAGAAATGAAATTATGACTAGCTCCACTATCAATCAAGACTAACAATCTCTTTCCTTTCACGTAGTCCTGCAACTTCATCGTATTAGTAGGGGTAAGTCCTCCTGCCGAAAACAGAGACAACTCCATTATGTTATTTTCCATTTCCCCCTTCTCTGTCTTTGTCCCTTCCTTCACGTCATCTTCTTCATTTTCATCTTCTGCCATGATAATCACCCTCAAGTTTTTCTCTGGACACTTGTGGCTTGGGCTACATGGCCCTCCACAGTGGAAACACCTTCCCTCTTCTCTCCTTTTGATGTACTCTGGGTATGGCAGGTTCCTAAAGCCCCTGTTATGAACTTCTCCCACTGAACTTCCCCCCATTACTGACGTTCCTGACACACCACCCTTCTCCTTCCTGGCAGTGCTAATATTACTAGAAGTCACTGGCAAGCTGCCAGCCCCTTGAAACATCTCAGTTCTCGTCACCTTTCCTCCTCCTCCCTGAAAACGAAAACCTGTGTTGTTTCGAAAAGAACTCCCTCCAATGGTATCAGTTTCTCTGCTAGTGTCTTCCACATCACGCGCTACCTCCATGGCTCTCAACAAATCGTTGAGTCATGGGGTCTTATCTGTTTCCTGATTCCACTTTTCAATCCTGCCAGGAAATAACCCAGCAGTTGTTCTTCCTCCATGGCTGGAGCTTGAGCCACTAGCATTTCGAATTCCTGTATGTAATCCTCCACCTCTCCTTCTTGTTTAATCGCTGCTAATCTCTCAAAGACTGTACTGCGATCTTTTCCACCAAAACGTCTGTTCAAGGCCAGGGTAAATCCTTCCCAAGATGGGTTCTTGGTTTTTTGTTTCCAGAACCTAAACCAATGACTTGCGGTTCCCTCCATGCTAATGAAAGTCAACCTTAGTTTTTCCTTGGAAGTAATATTCTGGATCTCAAAAAATATTTCAGCCCTTCCTATCCACCCCATAGTATCTTCCCCTTCAAATGTGGGCAAATCAACGCTCTTCATCCACTGTCATTGAACCACCTCCTCTTCTTCATTTGAATCACCTCCACGTTCCTCCCTTCCTCCAATACCTCCTTTCACCGAATTTTCACTCCCCTCCGATCCCTTCTCACTCTTCTTGAATGTTTTAAACATTTCTTTGAGTTCTTGAATGGAATTCTTGACTTCTGCGTTTACTTTTTTCTTGCTCGCTGGTCCACCTTTCTGCCCACCTTTCTAAAACTCCCAATCTTCCTTCCGTAATGCCTCTAGGTTGAATCCGGCAGGTCGGACCAAACTTGTTAGGTCCTGGGTTGTAAGAACCTGGAAAAAGATTACTCACACCGTCTCTCCTCCCAAATAACAGCAGCACAACTCAGGAAAAAAATGATTATTGTATACAAACACACCACAAACAGAATACAACCCTCTGTCTTCCACAATCACAGGAAACGATGATCCTGTCTACTTCTATTACAAAACTCTCTGACCACTAACCCACCCATTACATAGTATATATAGCCTCTCCCTACGCAACACCTCTCATCCTATAACTAACTAACGGTTTAGTTAGCTATTATTTATTTAATATTCTCTTTTTCCTAATATACACTTTTAACTCCCTATCATATTGTTTGTTTCGTTTGGAAGCTTGGATTTGCATTTTGGTCTCCCAAGATTCTTTATCCTCACATCTCCATTCGGAAGCCTTATTGGGCTCGTTGCCATTCACACTGTCACCATTCGCTCATGTCACTGTTTGTGTTTGACGTCTTTTGTGCTTGTTATTGTTTGTGCCCACAATTGTTCTCATCTGTGTCAGCGATCACATTCCTAGTCGCTGCTGTTTGCAATCACTGTCACCACCGTCACAAGTTGTCACTGTCCAAGTTCCCCCTGTTCCTGTTTGTTCTATTTCATTTTGCCAAAACTCTTTTTCCCCTCATATTACAGTTCGTTTGGTTCCTATTTTAAGTTTTTTTTTTCTCACATTTGATTCTGTTTGTTTTTGTTTGTTCTTCTCATATTTTGTTTTTTTTTCTTGTTTGGTCTGGTTTTAATTTTTTTTTTCAAAACTGTCTTGTTCTGTTGTTGGCTTAATTTTTGCTTAATTTTTTTTTTATCTTGATTATTTTAGATTTAAAGGCTGAAATTTTAAATACTTAAAAGTGGATCAAATTCTTCTGATGCAAGAAATGTTTTTGAATGATCACAATTAAAAGACAAATACACATGATATTTTTAGTGGTCATATGATTACAACTAACTTCTAGTTTAACTATCTATGTATGCTTGTATGGCCAAATGCTCAAATTCTTAAAATGTAAATTGTTCTTACTTCTTACTAGATCTGTCACTTAAACGTGTTGGGAATATAGTTAGACTGCAATGATGGTGTAAAGTATCTTTATAGGCATAGTATGTTTATTCATTTCTAATATAAATACTTCAAGAGTCATATCTATGATATTTTTCATTTATTTTTAGTGTGTAAATGTTTACATTGATAGTGCATAAAAAAAACACTCATTTGTTAGATTAATTTAGAGTGCTTTATTAGGAATTGATTAGTTACTGTACTTTTGTTGTATTGTTCGCAGAGGTTTCTGGTTGGGTTGTTGATCTTTTTTGTCTTTGATATGAAGCAGGGAAACTGAGACCACAGATAAAATACTGCCTTTGTCTCAGGTTGATCATGGACAGGGTGAAAAGCCAAAGAAGAAAAGGAAAGTAAGGTCTAATGAGGGGGTGGTTTCGGTTGCTACTGATGATTATCATGACAGTCTTGTCAATCTACCTCTAAGAAATGAACAGCACCCAGTTAATGAGTAAGTTTTTCTTGATGAACTGTTATTTCTGTATCCGAGTAGTACTGTTTTTGCTTAATATAGGATAAGATTAGGTCAAAAAAATTATGATCTGTTCTAATATATAAGACATGTTGGGCTATCAGTTTTATATTATATATATATTTGACATTGTGGGACAGTGTGGGATGGGGCACCCATTTTTGACAATCCTAATTTTATCCATGTACTGGTTAGCCTGTCACTTGACCCATTTTGTCATTTCCGTAATTTCTTTTACCATTTAAAAGCACCTCCTGACCTCGTATAACTAACTATCCATTCCACCCTCATCTCTGTTACTTTGCACAATTCCCTACTTACTGCCCTTCTAGACTTGCAGCTAAGTCCCTCAATTGCGCTGGTAAGCTATACGAACCTAACAAAATTATTCTTACTCGGTGTTAAATATCTACATACTGATACGAGTATAGCATCTAAAATTATGCTTCCCATGGAATTTACCAAAGTTTAATATGCAGTCTGTGCTTCATTAACCTGTGCTCCTGTACCATCTTTCTGCAAGTAGCAAGAAACTAGGGTGTTCTTTCCCACCACTTTAGATAGCAGATATGGAAACCCAATTTTCTTATAACTTTCAAAAATAGTCTGTCATTTCACAATCGAGTACTGAATGAAAACCCTTCACTGCTAACAGAAGTAAAACCTAGGAAGAAATCTCTTCCTCTACAAATAAATTTATGTAGTTACATCAATGAAGATTGCATGTTCTGATTTATCCAACCTGCAAAATTTCACTGTCTTTTCTCCACTGGCATTTTCCCTGTCATTTGACATTAAACATTACGTATCATCAGTCAAAAAAGAAAAAACGAAATTTTGATATCTGATATGAATTAGCAAATTAGCAGGAATGTTAAAATTTCAGGCAATGTTGCATTGCCTTATGCTGAGAAGGATACTAAAAAGAATAGAACAAAGAGGAAAAAGCAAGAACAGGGAAACAAAAGTGACAATGAATATCATGAAGATATCATCGAAGAGGACAAAGTCAACACAGATGCAGCAGAGTCACGGACTCTGATTCATAATGTTTTGGAAGAAAAAGAGCAGCATCAGAAGCTAATTAATGAGAAGTATGGATCTGTTTTGTTTATGTTCTTTATGTGAGATAATAGTATAACTTGCTACCAATACGTGCTTTAGTGCTAAAATTGAACTGGTGACAAAATTAGTTTTACACACAGAATGAACAAGCTTAAACATTTCCTCCAAGATTAGCTGCTTGATAGATAAATCATTGGATACTGACTAGAATTGGTTCAAGCTTTTATGTTTAAAGTACCCTTATTCCCTTCAGGTAAGTGGAAACTAAAATAAAATTCTTATATCTAATTAAAAACAAGCCGGTTATGAATCAAGCAGTAAATCTTTTTTGTGCCTTGCTGGTATAAAATATACGGAAAAACAATTAACAAGGATGAGAAGAAATGTCTTGCTAATAGTAGTACTTACTGGTAATATCTGTAAGAATAATAATTAAAAAGAAATTATATGATTTCATGGTAAACCTCTAATATTATGATATCTATTAATGTTCTTTTTTTTTAACTTTTTCTTTATAAATATCAATTTGGTATTGATACACAACTGAAATTGGAATGTCATTCTAGTCAGAAAGTCAGGGAGAAAAGGATAAATATTTTTCTTTTTTGTGAATTAGCAGCAAACTGATAGAAGAATTGCTCATTTGAAGACACAAAAAACTAGTACAGGGTTATTATGCCTTAGTTTGAAATACATTTAAGACAATTGTTGGTAGGCCAGAATTAATATGAATTTTCCAATTTGGCTTAATTGTAATATCCTTATCTCCTTTTGCTTTTTTTTTTTTTCTTATTTAAATTGTCTATACAAAGCTCTGTTTTATTTATTGTCTAGTTTTAGTCTGAGACATACTATGAACCTTACATTCTTAGTTGATTTTTCTGGTGCAGGAGTGTAGATAATGATTTGTATGACTTTTCTAATGGAAATCAATCTGAAGATAGAAAAGTTAAGAAAAGGAAGAAAATGAGCAAAAGTGAGGGTAATGGGGAAGTTGTAAATTCTGATATTACTTCATGTGTTCAGCGAAGTGGTGACACTGAGATCATGGAGGAGGATAGAAATAAGGGGGACGATGCAAAGTTTTCCCAAGTTAGAACATTGATAAATGGACTAGTTATTCAGGAACTAGAGAGAACGGGTATAAAAGATGGCAAAATCGCTGCTTCAGGGAAAAAGGTAGTTTATTTTAATTATTTAAAATTTTTTAGCAACTAGTTCTATTAATTCAAATCAAAAGAATTGCAAAGCCCATATGATTAGGCTGTGATGAGGGGTTTGGGCAGTTAACATGAGGTCATATCATCGTAGATTTAAACCTCATGGGGCATCATCTTAATTTAACAATAAACAAATAATTTTAAGATTTGATTTGATTTAAATAAGTAATCTGTTGTTACAGATTAGCATCTATTACACTGGCAAGTTAAAGGAAAATGGAGCTTTATTTGAGTCAAATGCTGGCCAAGCTCCTTTCAAATTTCGCCTTGGTAACACTATTTACCTGAACCTTGTTACCTGGAAGACTATTTATGCTTGTATTAAGTATTAACCTTTTGCAGGTAAAGGAGAAGTTATCGAGGGTTGGGATGTTGGCCTTGAAGGTACTCATTCTGATATTTTTGCTCTTGTTCTTTATCATTGTCCAGCTTTTGCTTTTATGGTGTTATTGAATTAGAGTAGTGCCTGTGATTTTTTTTAACAGGCCCCTTAATTCTCTGTTAATTGGTTGCACACGTAGTCGTGGGATCCATATAAAGTTTATCTAATAATCGTAGTGTGTGTTTAGAAGATTGTCAGTGGCTGTTCTCATTTTCTCATTTAAATATATTTTCTCGCAAGTACTATGGTGATGTATATACCTCCGTATTCATGGTTTTCAGGCATGCAAGTTGGAGAAAAGAGAAGACTTGTAATTCCACCATCACTGACGTACGTAATTGAATTCTTGTGTCTATTTAACACCATTTTCTGTTCTCTAATTTCTTATTTGGGACCCCTATAACCTCAAACATGTGCATGTATCAGGTCTGAGATTGATGGACACAGTGCCAAAATACCACCAAACTCATGGTTGATTTATGACATTGAACTGGTTAAAGTTCATTGAATATTTCAGCCAACTGATTGTGCCAAAAAAAACAAATGGCGAAGTGAGGAGGCAATTCAGGGACAGCCAAAAATATTGCATAGTTTTTGGTTTTGTTGAACTTGGATGGATGGTGATTGATTAGTTTTTTTGTGTAGAAGATAGTTGTTATATGAGTGCTACCAAATCCGAAATTTTGTTTATTTCAGATACCGTCTTAAAATTAAAAGATACTCGGGGTCGGGGTTGAAGTGGTAAAAATGTTCACATAAATATGCATACCAGCATAAAAAATACGCAAATACGAATATGCAATGTTCGACATTTGGCTTAGTCAACTGTTTTGTTAGACGTAAAATACTTGTTAGATTTAGGTCTTATTTCGGAGTAAAATAAAATACACTGTTTTATAAGTTAAAAGTAGTTTATTTACATGTTAAAATCTGTTTTGGGAAACAGTTAACTGAGTTTTTATAGACAAATTAGTTTATGTTAATTTTAACTTGTAAGAAAAATTTGTTGAATTTTATCCATTTCTTTTTATACACCAGTACTTAGTAAGAAATAAGTATACGCAAGCTCTAGTTCTGTGCATTTTACAATTAGCCATGACAATCGATTTTTTAAATCTAAGTGTGATGGACAAAGATGTGTTGACATCCATATTTTAATGAAAATCTTAAAATAATAACATTTTTTGTTGGAAGGATGTTTGGTAAGTAATGGCTGTCTAAATATAAAGACCCAAGTGTGATTGTTGACTCAGGTAGAAAGATGAGACGGGTATGTATGAAGTTAAGGCAATAATTTTGCCTAAATCTTTCTTTTACATATAAATAGCAAAAATGTCTTTTAAAACTTTTTACACTCTGAAAAAAATGCAATTACTAACAAGTTTTCGAATTGTACGTGTTATAAAAATTATATATTTATTTATTTATTTTCGTTCTGAAAAGTTTTAATTCTATTATTTGAAAATGCATTTAAGAATCAATTTGTAGTGATAAATATTATACAAAATAGCAAAAAAATCAATTCTGTATTATTCGTTCGAGAATAGGGGAGAATAATCATGGTTTTTAAAATGTGTTTTTTTTTTTATAATTTCATTACAATTGGAGATACTAGAAAAAAAAATAAATACAATTAAGTATACTTTGAAATTAAACTTGACAGATCCACCATGTCTAGAAGCGATAAAAGTGGTGAACACCTCCGAAATGGTGAAATTGTCCTTATATATTTTTTAAACTTTGTTGTATCTTTACAAAACTTTCATCCTTAAATATCATTTTAGAAAAAAATTAACATTACTTTTGAAAAGCTATTTTAGAATGAATTTAATAAAATTTATTTGGGATGAGTTTTTATCATCAAGAAAGTGAATTTTTTTGAAAGAGTTTAAAATTATTTCCAAAAAGTCTTTTGATAAGTTTGATTAGTTTGATATATATATATATATATATATATATATATATATATATATATATATATATATATATATATATATATATATATATATATATATTTAGAATCTTCCAAACTCAAATTTCACCAATTCTTCCATTTTTTTGTTCGAGTTTTTCACGACCATCTCCCTTTAGAAAAAAATACTTTTATTTTACGGATCTTAACTTTTTTTTCTTTCGAATATTATGAGTCATTTAAAACATCACTTATCTTTAGTAATTAGTAAGTAATGTCATATAAAACTAAAGATTAAAAGTAGTGATTTTTTCAATGTTAAGAAAAAAATTATGTTTTTACTAAAATCAACACCAAATCCACGACTAAATATATATGCAATAAAAAATTATACACTTGTATACGGTAGATCTAACATTAATCTAGATCTAGTTATAATTATAATTATTAAATTGAAAATGTGATCTAATTATAAGATTGACTTTTTAGGGTAAATAAAGTTTATGCAAGTTATTTATTTAATTTATTATTATTATTATTATTATTATTATTATTATTATTATTATTAAATTAAGTGTTAACATTAAAAAAGAGTGATGATATGGTGTGGAATTGAAGAAAAGAGAGAATCTTGTTGTGGAGTTGGGAGGGAAATTGAAAGAAGAATCGAATAGAAGAAGGTTGTAGGGTTTGTAATTGTGATTGTGAATTTGATAGAGCGATGAGTGAGAGTAACGGGATCAGCAGGAGGCGAAATGCTGGAGATCAAGATCTGGGACTGTACTTCTTAGAAGCGTGTAAGGGTAGGGAGACGAAGGAGAAGGAGAAAGAGGAAGAAGAGGAGGAGGAGGAGACGCCGAGGGAGCTAAACACGATTAACAGCTCCGGTGGTTTCGTGGTGGTGTCGACGGACAAGCTGTCGGTGAAGTACACCAGCGTCAACCTTCACGGCCACGACGTTGGTGTCATTCAGGCCAACAAGCCTGCTCCTACCAAGCGCCTCATCTACTATTTCGAGATTCATGTCAAGGATGCCGGCGTTAAGGGTCAAATTGCCATTGGCTTCACCTGCGAGACATTCAAGATGCGAAGGCAGCCAGGGTACTATCCCTCACTCATCACTCATTCAGCACTTCATTTTTGAACCCTAACCTTAACCTTAACCTTAACCTTAACCCCAACCCCTACCCCGTTAATTTATGTTAGGTGGGAGGCCAATAGCTGCGGCTATCATGGTGACGATGGTCTTCTTTACCGTGGACATGGCAAGGGGGAAGCGTTTGGCCCAACTTATACATCTGGTGATGTAGTTGGTGCCGGAATCAACTACGCTTCCCAGGAATTTTTTTTCACGTACACCACTTACTCACCCCACTCATCCTTTACTTTTTTCTCTCAAAACAAAACTATTATTGACATGACTTTTTCTCTTCTTTCCGTGCCAGTAAAAATGGCCAAGTTGTTGGCTCTGTTTACAATGACATGAAAGGCCCCCTTTTCCCAACCATTGCAGTTCATAGCCAAAATGAAGAGTATGTCACTTGTACTGCCACTACTTTCTCTGCCTATTTTCGTTTATTTGAGTATGCCAACATTGCCTACTAACTGTTTACTTTCGAACAGCTCCTTCTTTACATCGTTACTTGAGGTATTTAATTTTTCAGGGGTGTGTTTAATTTATCTCTGACAGGGTGCATGTCAACTTCGGGCAGAAACCATTTACTTTTGACTTAAAAGTAAGAGCCTAGCCTTCTTTATATTTTCCTTATTTTGTGTACTTTTTTCGCCTTAGACTTCATCGTGTTGGCCTACTTTCTAATTCAATGACATCAATATCTTGTAAATTTGTTTCTAATGTGTCATTGTGTGAAAAACAATTATTTTATTAGAGTAGACATATTCTTTTTAATTACATTTATAATCCTGTCTAGTTTCTCCCTAACAGATTAGCATTTCTGTTATGATTTAGTTTCTGGCTGGCTCAACTGTGAGTTTCTTAGCCTTGGTATATTCATCTCTCATTCTCTCTGTATATTTCTATTTGGTACATGCTAATTTTAATAATAGATTATGAATATTATGGTTCGTGTCTGAATGATATTTTTGTTTTAAAATGCATAAACAAGCCTTTGTGATTTGATTCACAAATTTGAAAACCATGCTTGGATGAATTAGAATGGCTGTGCTTTCTTATGCAGTGTTCCTGGGCTGCTATTTTGAAGTTTCTCCTTTTAAGAATATATTATCCTTAAAGATGAAAAACTGTGTGCTATGCTAGGCTAAGCATAAGAGGTGCCAGTAGGATTGTAAGTTATCCAGTAAACACTTTGAGGAGAAAACATGATATTTTGATAACCTTGTCATACACTCTATGCATCTAAAGTGGTACATGGATGAAATGGTAGCTTAACTTATTTCAATGTGATTTACTAGATTTTCAAAAAATATTAGTGTCATGTGACATTTTTGTTTAAAAAGTAACCAAGTTCATAAAATACACATGCTATTTAGTTGTTTATCATTCCTTTTCTTAGACATTTATTTTATTGGATTAGGAATTTGAAGCACAAGAAAGAATGAAGCAGCAACTGAAAATAGAGGAAATTTCTGTGCCACCAAATGTTAGTTACGGGTGAGAGAAAATTATCTTTGAATAACTTCGGTACTAAACACTGCTTTCTATTACATTTTTATTTTCAATTGTCTTTAATCGTAAGTAGTGCAAGCTTTCTAGGAGTTAGAATTCCCTTAATAACTAGGATCTTTCTTGGGTCTGTATTTGTAGTTACTAGTCAATAGCAGGGTAAGATTACTGGACTAAGAACAAATCAGTAAGAGTTTGTTTGCATATAAGTACATTTTTCTATCACATTGTCCCCAAATTTATTAATGTTACACTTGGTTGTCTGGGTGCTCCAGTCTTCTCATCATATTAAACGTAAATTTAACAAATGAGTGTCTGAAGCTGTACCAAGTTCTTCTTAGAGGCTTGTTGCTAGAAATAAATTAATAATTCAAGCTCTTTCGGTGTAGTTGTCCAAATGAAAATGCAATTATTAGTTTGCTTTTAAAGTATATGCCAATAAACCAGGTTTTTTTTTTTTTTTTTTTTTTTTAAATTTCAATTTCTCAAATGAAAAATTGATTACTAAGAGATTGTAGACTTGCATTAAATAGATTACAGTGTTAAAGAAATATGTCATGTTAAAGAACTGAGGTTTACCTTATGTTTGTGAAAGTAGATTTATGTTTCGTTTCAAATTTATCTCAGTATGGTCTTCTGTCAAAAATGGGAAGAATTCTGTGCTGAATGAATTGTCAATTGTTTAATTTAGTCTCCTGGCAGTTTAAATTATGTTTTCCTTCCTTTAACATTATCTAACTACTATTTTAAATTAAATAAATTTAACTGGTTGCTAGTGGTTAGAGTGGTCTTGCTATTGTTCCCCCATTCCCTTTTTGAAGATATCAATATTAAATAAAGGTTTTGGTTGCATCATCCATTGTTATCAGTATCATATGATTTACAATCAAATACATTCATCTGATTCAAGGAGCTGGTGATGCGATTCTTCATAAGCTCCTTTGAGGAGAAAAAAAAAAAATGGAAAAATTGAATTTTTGTTTCTATGAAAGGTAAAATTACCTTATGCATAGACTTATTGTAGAAGCTCTCATAATTTCTCAAATTTTTATTTTTAACTTGTGCATAAGTTAGCTTATGGAGAAGTTAATTTTATTTTCTTCTCATTCTTTTATCCTTGAAGAGTCTATGGAGAAGCTCATCCAAGCATGCCCTTTGTATTGTATCAGAGAAATTTAACTGACAAATGTAATTGCAAGAATAGAGGATAGGCTAGTTGTAAATTAATTTACTATATAACATGATTGATACTATGAGAAATGCAGACAGCAAAATGTGTTTATGGTTTACTAAACTGGGAAGTACAGGTCTTCTTCACTAGTTGCATACTGTAGATTTTTATGGTTTAGGAAGGTTGAGATTAATCTTTTTAACCCTAGGTGTTTGGGAGTGACATCCATGCATGGCTTTCATGGGAGCCAATGCCAATAAGAAAATAATAAATATATGATTTTCTCAACTTTGATATCTTTTTTTGTCAACAGAATTGTCCGTTCCTACCTTCTACACTATGGCTATGAAGATACATTGAATTCATTTGATGTGGCTAGTAAGAGTACTGTTCCTCCTATATACATAGCTCAAGAAAGTGGAATTGATGAGCAGGAAATAATGTATGCATTAAATCATAGAAAGACTCTACGGCAGGTATATTTCTCGTGGAACAAAAAAAATAACTAATTTATGTAAATTCAATTCTTAGAATTTAACATTTTATATTTTATTGATCATTATCAATGTCACATGCTTGCCAAAAAACAAAACTATTGCTGTTGGCGTAATCTGTATATATCATTGTTGCCAATAATCATTGTTACTGGCACCAGCCACATTGGCATGATGTCACTGGATTTCTCCATCAGAATTGCCATTAAATTTAAAATTGTGATTTCTATCTGAAATATTTATTTCTCTGTAACATATAAATCAAGATTCTTAATTCTAATTTTGGCAATATTGGAAATGAAATTAGAATTCCAATCTGCAATTTCAATTCACAGTAAAATATATTTTAATGACAAAATGTTTCCTTGTTTTCTTTCTGTTTCCTTTCCTCAATTTTGTGAAAGGAAGATGCAAACCACATTATCTTGTTATATGCACCTGCATGAATGCAAGAGGTTTAAAATGATGAACCCTTGGACAAGTATGATGACTAGTTGGAGAAGGGAAGCTTTTCCTCTTACTGTTTTATATAATAATGTAATTTTTTTTTTTTGTCAACTTCATTCAGTTGTAAAACCCTCAATACTTTGAAGGCATGCATCATGCATGACACTTATGTTACTTGCCTCTCTTAACAATCAGCTATTGACGTTGGGAGATGTATGTGATTTAGTCTTGTTCAGTTTATCATTTTGTTTTCAATGGAATCTAGGAAGATGGCAGTGGATTTTGTAGAAGTGAAAGTAATATTCCCCGCTTTAGCTCCATAGCAGAGTGTTTCAGTGTTGCCAACATAGCGGCTATAGGGGCCCAGATAACGATGCCATGGCATTTTCTGAAAAAAATCTTTTAAAACTGGTCTGCTGGGTAGTATTGGAGGGAGTTTTTTAAATTTTTTAATATTCAATTATAAAGTTGGCTTTAGCTTAAACCACTTTTTTTCTAACATTTTTTCCTCTTCTTATTGGCGAATATGTTGGTATTTTGACTGACATAAAATGATGTTCCATCTGCACACATCTATTTTAACTTTTGCCCCTGCTGCACAGAGCTGCTTCGTAACACGTTTAAGTTTTGAAGTTTTTTTATTTGTTGGACCCTTCTTTCTTTCTTCCACTACCTTCACTCTTTGTTTTTTTGCTTCACTCCGTTTTATATAAGAATGATTCAGTTTCTGTGAAGAATTGTTGATTGGAAGATATATATTTATGATTCTTTCATTTAAGAAGTTGTTACTTATCTAACTCATCGAATGCATGGTTATGTGAAGAGTTCTTGTTATAGATGTGTATAGCATCTATTATAAATTACATAAAAAATACTTAGTATAGTGGTTGTCTTGCTATATGCTATACCGCTATAGAGTTTTTGGGGTCAGCCACTAGGCTCTGCTATCCGGGATTTAAAACACTGGCCAGGTTTTCATATTTGCAGACAAGTTAGTAGATTGTTTGGCTGATTAAAGTTCCAATCTCTTTTAAAGAAGTGTTACTTTTTTAGGTTAGAATTTAGAACTTTGTAAAATAGTGTGCATGTCCGTCCTTTTAAGCTACCAGTGTTGTTGATGATAAATATTGTAGTTTTACAGTCCTTTGTTTTGTTATTGTTGGTATGATATCCTGGCTGTATATTCTTGCTGACTTGCAACCGTAATTAGGCTTACCTCTTTTCTTTTCTATGAAGCTAATCAGGAATGGGGACATTGATGTTGCATTTGGTAAATTGCGTGAATGGTATCCACAAATTGTTGAGGTGGGCTCTCTCAGATTTTACACTTGTCTCAGAGTCACAGTTGTGTGTAATGCAAAGCTAACTTCAATTGAACTGATTAAAAATGCAATCATGTATGCTGTGGCATATTTATAATCTTCAATCTACATATAATGGAAATTTATTTAAACTTTTTTTAAAGTAATTTGTGGTAAATGATAGTGCTAAGTTGTGCTTTAATTTTTAACTGCCATGTTCTGTTTGGTTGTTTGAATCATACATAACTGAGGTTATGCTGTGATATATTTCCATCTGTTTACATTTTCTGAGTTTATTTAATATAAAAACTTATTTATCCAAGAATTTGTGGTTTAATGAGTTTGCCACTTGTTCTTCCCCTTATCATTGTTTCATTCACATCTATTCAAAGTGATGGTAAATTGACTAAGATTTTCTTGTTGAAATACTTTGTTGATCTTCAAGACATAATAACACTAATTTAATTTTCCTTTTCTTTAAGGTTCCAAATAACAGAAATAAAATTATCTATGAAATTTTAATATTTCTCCTATGAAAGAATCTTCTTTCTTTATATTTACTTCTGGAGTCATGATAATCAATTTTGATTACTGCAGGACAATACATCAGCTACATGCTTTCTGCTTCATTGTCAAAAATTTATCGAATTGGTTCGGGTATATTTCTTTCAATTATATCATTTTGTAACTGTCGGAAGTCTGTCCTACTTTATTCCTGTACTGCATTAGTACATATTCGTTATTGTGGATTTAGGTTTTTAATTTGGATGTTTATAAGCACCCAAAGAATTGAGGAATCCACCCTTAAAAGCTAAATGTTAAGGAAGGAGAACCAAATATGCCATACTATTCAATGTGAGATGTCCACATTTTACATGATCCAAGTCCCTTTCACATGCCTCACAGTTTGTTTATTAGTGAAGCTCAATTTATATTATTTATTTGTAGTTTACTGCTGAAAATATCAAATTTGTCCCTTTGATGGTCTAGCTTTGATTTAAGATCCCTAGGTATTGTACAGAAATTGAGTAATCTATTAACACTTATTTTATGGCTGTATACAGGTTGGTGCGCTTGAGGAGGCAGTCAAATATGGAAGAATAGAATTGTCAAGTTTTTATGACTTGCCTGTCTTTAAGGATTTAGTTCAGGTGAATTTTCCTAATAAAATTGATCTTGTTGCTGCTTCACAAATATCGCTTGTCCATTTCCAATTTCTTATAATTTTTTGCTTATCCAATTGCACTGAGCATATAGTATTTATATTGCACTAGATTAGCAGAAGCAATCTCATATCTCCTCGTTATTTGCTTTAAGCATTAGTGGGGAATCTTAATATTATGTGTGTTTATATCATCTGTTTCCTGTTGCGTTTGGGTTGTTTATTCCGTAGGACTGTGTTGCTTTGCTGGCATATGAACGGCCTCTAGAATCTTCCGTAGGCTATCTTTTAAAAGAGTCGCAGCGGGAAGTTGTAGCTGACACGGTAAATGCCATGATTTTGTCAACAAATCCCAATATGAAAGAATCAAAACATTGCTTGCAGTCCTATCTGGAAAGGTTACTTAGACAGCTCACTGCTTGCTGCTTAGAGAGACGATCACTGAATGGTGAGCAGGGAGAAGCTTTCCAACTTCAGAGAGTACTTAACAGTGGTAGAAGAGGCTAGTACTAGTGCTAGTGCTAGGTGATACTTATGTCGATCTTCTTATATTTGTTCATATGTCTATCGATCTGAAGCCACTGTTCATATTACCTCGGGATTTGAAACAATGCCAAGTGATCAAATTTCCCGTATTTACTTGATGCATGCTTATTCATTTCTTTGGCAAGAAGGGGGAGAGGTTGTCTCTGCATTCTTGTTTGTAACATCGTCAATATTTTAAAACAATGAAAATGGGAAAAATGGATCAGGCAATGATTTCAAGTTGAAAAATTTGTTGAGAGTAAGATTTTAGCACGTTTTGATGCATGGACAAATATGTGTATATACTATTGTAATGCAAATGACTTGTGGCATTAGCCCTTCATAAATTTGATTACTGTGAACTCGTTGCAATGAAATATTTTTGTAATTGATACTTACACGTGCTATGTGTGTTGCATTTGGACAGTTCAGAAACATCAGAATGAAATTGTTGAGGAAGCTTGGGTTATTTTAAGCAGAAAACTAAGAGTAGTATAAGTTGCCGTTTTCAATCAGAGTTTCATTTTATAAATATACATTTTATTTAATATATTATATATTACTTAGATGAAACCCGAACATTATTGCAAAACAACACCTATTTAATGCAGGATTGTGAAACAAACAAATTTTCAGTCAATTCTTTTAGCTTATAAATGTTAAACATATCCTGCATCTCATGAGGATTATTAGCTTAATTTGTGTGTTTTAGAGCATATCCTGCAATCAAACTATTCGTGCATCTTCAATTTAGAGAAGGTGGAGCAGAAAAGAAATGTTCTAGTGATGGAAGTAATTTCTTAATATATTTGATTGTGTTGTATAAGATGTAGAGTATCATAATTGGTTACATAACTAGCTAAGCTAGTAGTAATATGGTTCTAGAAAGAAAATAACATAGATGATGCAACATATGGAAAAAATAATGATAAAAACATCAATGGTGAGGGCAGAGACTGCCTGATCACTAAGCTTCATGTTCCTTCCACCAAGGCGGTCGACCATGTCAGGAACGGGCACCCAGTTCCGGATTTCTTGCTCGCGAGGATCCTCCAATTTCATTTTCATCTTCTCTTCGTGCCGACTTGCAGCCTCTTGAGCAAGGCTCCAATCATAAAATTTTCGACTCTCTTCGTTGCTAAGAACGTTGTAAACCTCTCTCAGTTTCATGAATTTTTCAGAGGCACTTTTGAGAGGGAGGGAAGTTGTGTCCGGATGATACTCCTTCGAGAGTTTCCTGTAAGCAACTTTAATTTCTTCTAAATCTGCATCCGGTGAAACTCCTAAGAATCTGGTAGATGGTGAAAGATGAGAGTGGTGTGATGCATGAGAAGGATGATAAGAAAAAGTAAAGCAGAGTGACTCACTCGTAATGAGAACCCAAAGAAGAGGTGAGGAGCAAATCTGCCAAGTCATCACCATGACCAAGCATACTGGCTTTGGAATCTCTTTCTCTGTCTCCGCCTCCAATCCAACCTTCATCCTCGTTTACCCAATGGATTCTGGTGTCAACTCCAGGGGGGGCTCTCTGGGGTCTGCCAGAGCACTTGACCTGCAAAATATTCCGACTACTTCTGTTTCTCAAAAACCAGAACTTTCCCAATTCTGCCTGCAGTGGAGCTCTGCATGTGGAAGCCATGGAAGGACACAATTGCAAGACCCTCATTCTCATGTCTCGCTACAATTCCTTCCATCATATCCCATTTAATAACTATTAGTTTCCTCTCCCTTCCCTGTGGTCTACCTTCTCTCTTCCATTTGTGGTTCACACCTTCTTCAAAATAATTTCTTTTTCTAAATTCAAAATATATCTGTTTATTTTAAGTAGATAAACAGTATGTATTTTTATATTCGATTAAAAATCATTTATGTACTTATGTATTTTAGTATAATTATAATTATTTTTTTAACTACCAAGCATAATTAAACTCTATCCATTTAAATAATAGAGAATATAAAAATGTTAAAATTTTACTTTTTATGAATTTTATCTATGATTTTAAAATTTTAAAACTAAACTCTTCTATTTTTCATCTTTCATTGAGTGAAAGAAAGAGACAATGAATTTATTTTGATAAAAATAAATCTAAGGAAAACAAATAGAATAGAGTCTTAGAAAATGGAACACGAATTTTATTTTACCGAGGGAGTACATGCTAAAATTTTTTTGAAAGTCATTTAATATTTAATAATTCTGTTTTCTGGAAGAAGATATTGACTGAACTACTGTAACTCATATTTCAAATAATTGCTAAAAAAATTCAATGAGAGGCTTAAGAAATAGGTAGTGTATTGTGCAAGATAAATATTTACTTATCTAAAATTTATATAAAAATTATGTTTGAATGTATGAATTATATTTCACATTTATACAGCATTATACGTTGTGTATTAAAAATTTCAAACAAATTTTAATTTTAAAATAAATATTAACTTTGAAACATTCATTTTGCACCACACCTTCAATTCTTATCCCACGGTTAATAATAATAATGTCTATCAACTTCATGTAGAGTAACAGTTAAGTGTGGTGTGCTGAGCTAATTTATTTGCCAGTTGCAGGTTTTATCTTTTGTAATGATGAGAAAGCAATTAGAGAAAGTTGGCTGGCATATGAAGAATACCGCAGACAAGAATGATGCCCCCAACCTTACCTTTTGAAGGCCATGCTTCTATCACAACCTTGGCGAATCTTATATCTACATAGCATGGGAAAAATAGTTAATAAACACGGATATGAAAGGGGCTTGTGGGTTGATGTTGAATTCAATAATAAAGAGTATTATTCGCACAGAGCCTCTAAACTTATCCAACCAAACTAAAAGCGTATTAGGTTATTGGTATAGTAGCAGCTGCATGCCCCCTTCAGAAAACTAGTGTTTATTAATATTTATTCATACACAACATATAAAGCTTTCAAAGTTAATATTTATTTTAAAATTAAAATTTTGCTTGAAAATTTTAATACACAATAAATAATGGTATATGTTGTGTTTAAGAGCCTCATGGACACTATTAGAAATAGTAGTATCAACTAAAGAAACAACAAAAAAGGAATATGAAGGAGACAAATAATAATAACTTAAAAAATTATAGATAGGAAATGGATTCCGAGTGGAACGAAGGTTTTTTATAAGTTCAATTGGCCATCAAAATCAAATATGGGAGAGGAGGTTGAAGTTGATGAAGAAGGTTCTAAATTATGATTATCTGGTAAAGATGTAGGTGGGATCTTGTGGTGATATGTGAGAAGAAGAGAAGACTCATTGTGACCTATAGGTTGAATTGGAGAAGGATTAGGTATTATAAGTAGATCATATGAGGGTATAGAAAGAATATGTCAAATGGAGAAACCATTCTCTATGGGAGAGGAAAAGAAGGGTGTTTCCTCAAAAGGTGACATCAGACATATAATACTTTTTGGTAGATGAATATTAACATTTGTACCCTTTTTGGAGGTGAGAGTATCCCAAGAAGACACATTTAATGGTCTTAACACTTAACTTATAAATACCTATAGAGACATTATGTACAAAACATGTACAACCAAATACACGAGCAGATACATGATAAAGAGAATCATATGGAAAGATAAGGGAATGTGGAATTTGATTTCGAAGAGAAGAAAATGACATTCGATTAATAAAAAAACAAGAAGTGAGAACTACATCTCCCCAATGATGAACAATGACGTTGACATTCAACATTAGAGAGCATGCGGTCTATATAAGATGCTTATTTTACCTTTTTGTGATCCCATTTTGTGCCAACTAAGATTTGATCCTGTACATGATCAAAATCAGAATGCAGACTCCTCAAAATTAGGACCATATACAACTTATCCAGTTTGGAGTTTAACTCCTCTAAGGTATTTGTCACAAGAAACCTTTTTAATTCCTCCATAATAACCCCAGCTTTTGCAATGTGAGACATCATGTCATGATTTGTCTACTTGAGAAACGTCATTCTTTGAGTTGCATCGAAGAGACGCTAAATATCATTAGCAAAAATGTCTTGAGCCTTTTTCAAAAATGAATAGTAGGTTTTGAATGACCTGAGTGTTAGAAATATAGGCTGAGATCAAGAGGGGGGGTGAATTGATCTTTGAAAATTTTTCGCAAATAACAGATTATCTATTTCAAAGATTAAGAAATCTGACCAATTCTTGAATTACACAACAAACAATAAAAAATAAATGCAGTCACATAATTAAAGAAGAGAAAGGTTTAGAAAGATATCATCAAGGTTTATACTGGTTCACCCAATCCTAGGGCTACGTCCAGTCTCCAGCCAAATTCCAGCTGGGTTCCACTAGATTGAATGTTTTACAGATTACAACCTTAATCTCACACTCAATCTACCACAAGAACCACAATTCCAGTTCCTGCACCTAAACCTTACACCAAGAATCAAATTCTAGTTCTTGACCACACTTGCAGCCAAATTCCAGCTACAGAAACCAGTGCCCACAATTCCAGGCACCCACAATACAACAAAATAAAGTAAAGAAACAAGTAGAAGAAACTAAGAACGCTCAAACCAGTTTTATGCAGTTCTGCAGTATGTGTTTCTTCTCCAAAAGAATGCAATTTTTCCTCAAGAAAGAACTTTGATGAGCTTCACAAAAACTAGCGTGATTCTCTCTTGAAAGTAGCACTTTTGATTGCTTGATTGATTGCTAAAAGATGTGTTTTAAAAAAGTTAAACAATTCTATTTATATAGAAGATTTTCAAAAACTGCTGGTTTAATTAATCTGTTAAAATAATCTTTTAATCTGTTAAAAGTCTTGTTTTAATCTGTTAAATCTTCTTTTAATCTATTAAAACGTTCTTGATTATTTTCCAGATTTGTTTTAACTGATACGACAACGTTTATATCAATTAAAACCCTTTGTAAAAAATCTTCCAATCTGTTTTAATCGATTGTTTCGACTTTCAATCGATTAAAAAACTGCAAAACATTCTTATACACTTTTCTAAATGATTTTAGCTGATAAAAATATGTTTTAATCGATTAAAACGCTGTGTAGAAATTCTCTTAAGTTCTTTTAATCGATTGAAACGCAATTTAATCGATTAAAATAATTCTGATCGGTCATAACTCAATTCTGATCGATCATATCTGGTTCTGATCGGTCATATGCTCATTCTGATCGATCAAACAATACTCCAAGTGGTTTTAATGAAAACAATCGGTTATTTCGAAATTATATCAGTTAAAAACCTATTACAAAAGTGTTAAGAACATTTTAGTTGATAAAGTTTATATGCTATTAGTTAAAATAGTTGGTTAAGAAAACTTTTATCAAAATACTTTGTTTTTAACCGTTTAAACATTTTTTAGAGGCATTTGCAAAATCTTTTAAATGAAGAAACCTCATGCAGCAGAAAGATAAAAATGATTATACCTAAGCAGAGCGGCAGACACACTAATCCCTCTACTCTTTTATCTAAGTGACTTTTGACTGCCTTAAAGTTGCCTTTGACTTCATTTTTGTCTTCATCAAATCAACAAGATCTTTGCCAAAGTAATTCAATAAGATCTTCATCACTTTCAGTCTCCCCCTATTTGATGAAGACAAACACCTCTTTGATACCTCTTTAAATAATAACTCTGCAGAAGAAGTCACTTGGATAGATAGATTAGTGAGTAATAAAAAAATAATCATTTTCCCATTTCTCCCCCTAAATTGTTGCTCCCCCTAAAGAATTTTTGGAGATCCACTTGAGGATTTTTATTCGGCCCTCTCTATCATGGCCTTTTTGGACATCTGCTGGGGATGCAATGGTTTTCTTTTCGCTTCTTTTCTCTTCTTTCTTTTTGTTGAGCCCTTGATGGTTTGGACTCTTTTGTGAAAGTGATCCTAGCAAAGATCTCATTGATTTGATGAAGTCAAAGATAAAGTCAAGGGTCAACTCTGCAGCAGTCAAACAAGTCACTCAGACATTTGAGCTGAAGATTTAGAGTGTCTAACAGAAAGCTTAGGTAAAACCACTTTACCTTTTCCACTGCATAAAGCTTCTTCACTCATTTTGCAAAATGCCTCAAAAATAGTTTTAAACAAATCAAACAAAAGCATTTTGACAAAGAACCTTCTTAACAATGGTTTTAACTGATATAGTTTTTTAAGAAACGATTAAAATCACTAAGAATGCGTAAATAATTGTTTTTACAGTATTTTAATCGATACAAACTTCTTTTAATCGATTAAAACCCTTTAGAAATCATTATGACCGATTAGATTTGATATATAAGCAATCAGAACTTGTTTCAATCGATTAAAACACGTTTCAATCGATTAAAACCACTTTGGAAGTCAGGATGATCGATCAGAATGAAATTATGACCGATCAGAGTTGGTTATGATCGATCAGAATTGAATTATGACCGATCAGACTTATTTCAATCGATTAAAACGTATTTCAATCGATTAAAATAACTTAGAAAATCTTTTCAATCGATTAAAACGAACTTTCAATCGATTAAAATGACTTTGAAAGTGATCCTAGCAAAGATCTCATTGATTTGATGAAGTCAAAGATAAAGTCAAGGGTCAACTCTGCAGCTGTCAAACAAGTCACTCAGAACAAAGGAGCTGAAGACTTAGTGTGTCTTAACAGAAAGCTTAGGTAAAACCACTTTACCTTTTCCACTTGCATAAAGCTTCTTCA